AACAAATTAAAATTCGTGATTGGGATGAAGAAAAATATTTGGGATACGATTTGCACCAAATTTTGGGAAATACCCAACTAAAAAACTAACCAAAATTAAATAACAACAAAAATAATATTTTAAAACTTGTGAAAATTTCGTAGGGCTATAATTTGTTCAACTACTGTACACTAGACTGATGACAAAACAGTTTAAGCTTAAGAAATCTACATACAAATATTAAAAAATTGTATCAACGGAATCATAATATTAAGATTTATGATGCTGTTTTTTAGCTTTTTCAAAGATTTTTTTAAGAAAAACTTGAATAACGGCTTCAAAACTTTACCGATATAGACTTATGAGGTATCAGTGAAGAGGTATTTTCTCACCTTTTTATTTCTTTGCATAAAAACTCATTCACGTCACGTCACGTTCTTTATCAAATACCAACACATCATAATTCAACATGGAATGACACGCGCTTATCTTACCTTCCTCTTTGATACCTTTAATGAGCTTATTTGCAAAGAAATTAAAAGGGTGAGAAAATACCGTACCGATGATACCTCATAAGTCTAAATTGGTAAGGCTTTGGCTGAGTTATTCAAGTTTTTCTTAAACCAGTCTTTGAAGAAAGTGCAAAAACAGCATCAAGACTCTCATTATTATGATTCCATAGAATTTTTTTTTTAAATATATTTATGCAAACCTTTTAAGCTTAAACTGTTCAGTCAGCTGAGTTAATTTTTTTGTTTAAATATTAAAAAAAAATTTTATTAATAAAAAACTCAATTTTGGGAGGTATTTTCCAATCGGAAGTCTTAAAATATAANGGGGGGGGGGGGGCTCGACCCTATTAAGCTGGCATTTCATTTGAAAGCCCCCTGCCCCTACCTGGCTACGCCCATGCATAAGTTGACTATGATTACTGGGCCGTGCTATCATAGTAACACAATGCCACTAAGTGCATTTTAAAATTTTCAGGCAATAGCCTCATGCGATTATCGATTATATTTTTTGTTGTTTCTGTGAAATATATTATTTTTGTCAGTATTTTTCTTTTAATAAAAACGTGTTGTAATAAAAGTGAAAAAAAATAAAAATATTTTGCCAGAAAAAATTATAGAAATCGGTTAACGTGTTAAAAATTTATGCGGTAACATACATAAAAAAATAATATTCCGATGAATTGATATCCTTCTCCTTTTTTTGCAGTCGGTTAAAAACTATTCAGCCTTATCATGGGTTTCATTTTCCCCGAACCGGTTCATTTTTCACTTTTAGTTTCCATGGTTTTACTATGGGCGGATGACAATTTTTCGGGTGAATTTTTTTTCAGGTGGAACTCAGGATAAGGCAGATTATGATTTTTTTCGAGTGACAATGAGAAAGTTAGTGATTTCGATATTTTTTTAAAAATAAAATAAAGAAACGTTTTAAATTAAAATTAAATAAATTTAAAATTCAATAAATTAAAATTAAATAAACGAGGTACGAATAGCAATAACGAGGCTGTAAAATAACAAAGCTGTTGGAGCTGAAAGCCTGCCAGCTGAGCTATTCAAGTACGGTGGCGAGGAGTTGATGAGGTGCATGCATCAAATGTTATGCAGAATATGGTCAGATGAACAGATGCCCGACGACTGAAGTTTAAGTGTGCTCTGCCCAATCCACAAGAAAGGTGACCCCGCCATTCGCGCCAACTACCGGATAAGACTATCGAGCGTATTGTGTGAAAGACTGAAGCCCAC